AGACCTTGAACAAAATATGATCAAGATCAGAACACAGCTCTTTACTGACCTCTAGTGATTAAAAAACATATGACGTGCCAGACATTCTTTCTGCTTTACTTAATAACACTCTACCATAAATATATAAATCTCTGGCTAACCAACTATTACATTTCTTTTTAACAGCTTTATGAACAGATGTAAAATTATGATCAATGTTAATGTGATCTTTAGAGATGTTAATACCTGGATATTTTACAATATCTCTTACAGGGATACTGCAAATTTCAGCATCAGCAGTTGTTTATAGGAGCAAGATTTCACATTTTTTTAGATTGAGTTTCAATCCTGAAATGTTAGAATTCAGATATAACAGATCGAGCTACGGGAACTTCACCAGAATCTTTTAGAAAAAATGTATCATCAGCAAGTTGTAAAATTAGATTTTTCTTGATCAAATCTAGGCCCATCTATGTGGCCCTATGATGGACTTGTGACCAGTGACTGCTATGGGCACCATGAACCTGAAAGAAAGAAGCTAATGCATGGATGGGCTTACAAGACAAAAACAAAATAAATAAGTTTCATTGTTCACATATGTGATGAGAACAAACAGTCATGAAGGGTGGCATTTGGTCATGACTTACTTCACTTCCAGGAACTGACATCGATGCCACTCAACAACTTGCAGCATGTATTGCCACTGCTGATCACTTGATTGTAATCCTGGATGAATTCTTTGTTTATTAAAGTCATTGACATCCTAATCATTGGTCACTTACACTCTAATTATTGGTCACTTACATCCTAATCATTGGTCACTTACACTCTAATCATTGGTCACTTATAATCATTGGTCACTTACACTCTAATCATTGGTCACTTACATCCTAATCATTGGTCACTTACACTCTAATCATTGGTCACTTCATCCTAATCATTGGTCACTTACACTCTAATCATTGGTCACTTACACTCTAATCATTGGTCACTTCATCCTAATCATTGGTCACTTACACTCTAATCATTGGTCACTTACACTCTAATCATTGGTCACTTACACTCTAATCATTGGTCACTTACACTCTAATCATTGGTCACTTACATCC